GTTCTCTTCTTCAGTGATTACGGATAAGAGAACCGTATATGAAGATTTCATCTCATACGGCTCAAACAGAAATACCCAAATACTAGTTCTAACGGATGTGTGTAATAAAAAGTTCGAATTTTCTTGCCCATTTATTTTGGAGTAATCTTTTCAGGAGGGACAATTTTAGTGGTTATATCAATGTGTGGCTTGAGGTTTCTATGTGTATATGAGCTTCCCTCGTCCAATTTTATTGGATCAAACTTTTCATAAAAAATAATTTTTGTAAGCTCCCTGATATTTGACCCTAACTTTATACGTTTCCTTAAATAACCAGTCTTAGCAAAACATTGCAAGGAATGCCATTTGGAAGGGTACAATTTTACTTGAAAAATTCATGTAAACCCAATACATTGACCTTTTATTTTTGTTTTTATTTTCCAACATGACATTTTATACAAAAATCCGAGCATCTTCAAGGGAGTATACAAATGAAATAGGCAAAATTGTACTATAACAACCTAGGTGGCATGTTACTTACCCATTTGCCTCATGAAAAAAGTTAGTCACTCCAAGGTACTAGGCAATGCAAGTCTACAAACCATTATATTTTATAGAAAGTATGTGAAAGAGTGGAGATGATATTATATTATAAAAAACTAGTGGGGCCCAATATACCTCTTCACTTTGAAGTAGGCAATATTACCTTGTTGGGGAGAAGTATGAATATTTTGCCTATCCAATTGTCTCTTTTCTTGGAGTATGAAAATGCTGATATGGCAAGGCAAATGAGGTTTGCATACTATTTTTCCTTTTCCTTTGGAGATGCTTAAGAGTACTTCCACTCATTTTCCATGGCAAAGGGTAAAGGAAAGGCAAGGCAAGGGTTATTACTATTCACATGAATAGTGGCAGCCCTTGCAAAAGGCTTGTAGTGTTTCCACCCATTGGCATGGCAACCCAAAGGCAACCACTATTCACATGAGATATGAGGAGAGGAATTTGTATAGAGTTTTGCTGTGGGAAGTAAAGAATATGACTAAGTATTTATTTTTAAAATTTTTGAAATTTTGAGTATTTTTTTAGATTTTTAGATTTTTTTTTTCATTGCTGACGTTATCGCTAACGTCAGCAAACCCAAGCAACAGCCTAGGTTATTCTTGCATTTGGGTCAGCCCAGGCTTGTGGAGCCCACCAACTGCCTTGGCTGCATTTGCACGCTGGAAACACTTTTTGGGCTTAGGCACCTCCTTGCCCGAGCAAAGGGTTGCCCATTGGAATTGCTCTAAGGCCCCGTTTGGTTCATGGGAAAGGAAATTTGGGGATGAGAAATCAATTGCTTTCCCATGTTTGGTAAGTTAGGCATAGGAAATCGTTGCCTGGCACATGGAAAAGTAGGGGGGAAAGTGAAGTCATCCTCCCTCATTGGGTTTTACTTTCCCTTCTCATGGGAAAGTAAGGCTAGAATTAAATGCACATTTTTTCTGACTATTTTGTCCTTACTAATAATTTATAATTACAGTTTTATCCAACAACTTTTGGTATTCCTTTTTTATTTTTTAATTCATAACATATTTTTAATAGGGATAAAATTGGGAAACTAAACAAAATTAGCTTTTTATTTCTACTCAAAACAAACATGGGAAAGGAAATAAAGTAATATTTCCAGGTTACTTTCCCGACATTACCAAATATGGGAAAGGAATCACCATTTCCCATCCCTTGAGAAATGACATGGGAAATGATTTTCATCAAATCCGTTCCGTGAACCAAATGGGGCCTAAAGGGAGTATGCAAATGCAATAAGCAAAAATGTACTATAACAACCTGGGTAGAATGTTGCCGACCCATTTGCCTCATGAAAAATATTGAACACTCCAAAGGACTATGCGTGTACAAATCATTATTATATTTATATAAAAAAATTGGTAAAAAGGGGGCTGAAGCCCAAACAACACTTATATTATTTATTTTTATCTTTTACATTTACTATTATATTTTATAAAAAGTATGTGAGAAAGTGAAGATGATATTTTATTATAAAAAGCAAGTGGGGCCTAATATACCTCTTCATTTTGAAGAAAGCAATATTGCCTTGTTGGGTAGAGTATGTATATTTTGCCTATCCATTTGCCTATTCCCTTAAAGCATGAAAATGCTAATGTAGCAAGGCAAATGAGGTTTGCCTACTCATTTGCCTCTTCCTTTGGAGATGCCATTAAAGAGCCTATTTGGAGAGAATTTTCTCAACCAATCACTTGTCATTTTCTAATTGGTTGTTAAAAACTGAAACACACCAAGAACTAATCAGAAAATGACAAGTGGCTAGGTGAGGGTTTTTCTCGCCAGATAGACCCTTAAGAACTTTTGTATAAAATATCATGTTAAAATGGGTCTATTTATTAAAAAAAAAAAAACTATTAATTTATTGGTACCCAACTTAAAAAATAATAAAATCCTATGTTTAGTGATATGATATCATGAGGAATTTATAGATCAATAAGCAAGGGTTTTTTTTTTTTTTTTTTTTTGAAACGAATAAACAAATGCTTGATCTTCCAAAGCCTAGCTGGTGGTTGTTTTATCATAAAATTGATCCTAAAAAAAATTTGTTGCCTAGCTGTAAGTGCACGTGTCGATCAGTACGGCTGTTCATTAAGCCCAAGCACTTCAGGCCAAGAGGGCCGTTGGAGAGTCCATTTACAATTTGATTTTGGAAATTAAGTTCATTTACGATTTTGAGCGTATTTTTGCAACACATAGAAAGGTAATCCTGTAAAAATCTACATTGAGTTCATTTAATTGATTTTACGATTTTAAGGTAGATCCTGTAAAATTCCTATAAAAAAGAGTAAACTCGGTAAATTTTTATTTTATTTTAAAGGGAGTTGGTTTTCTCACTCAACTTTTGTCCACTTACACTCCTTTATTAGAAATTGTATGATATAGTAAAAAGTATTTTTAAAAAATATTAAAAAATTGTAAGTGAATAAAAGAGGAATGAGAATTCAAACTGTACTCAAACTGAGATGATTAGGTGGGTTGTGAGTATTAACCAATTTACGATCTCCTTTTATCAATCAATTAAAATTATTCATGCAAATTAGGGAAAACTAAACTCTCGATCCTATGCGTTAAAAGTGTCAAAAAGCTTAGCAAAAATGACCACATATTAACATAAAAACTAACCAAACACTCTTAAGTAGCCTCGGTGACTCACTCATTTTCACTTCGTTATTCCAAGTCCCAAGGCTTATTGTCACATTTTACACTTCTTAAAGTGTTTTTTTTCCTTAACCAACATGACATTATCACCTATTAAGTTTCATTATTTTTTTATTTTTTTTTGGTGAATTGGGGGGAAAACCCCAAGCAAAAGAACTACAACAAATCAACACAAACAAGACGGGGACGAGACACCCCAATCAAGTCGTCAATAACTAAAGAACCTATCCAACTTGGAGCAAAATCAAAATAACACACGCCAAAACCCATGTTATAGCTCCAATTAGCTAATCCGTCTGCGACACAATTCTTTTCTCTGTATATATGTATAACTGCACAACTATTCATAAATTTTAAGTTTAACTAATAAGTCATAAAACATACTAAATCATTCCTAAACACACTCAAATAATATTTAATCCAATTTAACAAAAAATGTACATAATAAATAAAAATATTATGGGGGTGCTAATATAGCACTGTAAGTCTATCAATAGTTGTCGATTACTCAGAACGAGATGGGGGGTTTGGATTCATAAGGAGGTGGGGCCGCTGGTTTTCGTTTCCCAAATTTTAAAGGTAAAACTGATATGGTAATGAAAAGGGGGTAGGATCAACAAATTTGGGGTGTTTGTAGCTCTTGATGTTCTTTTATGTTCAAGCCATCTTTGAAGATCTTCTACGGTAAAGAAAAAACCTTTAAAATAAAAACATATTATAGAGTAGATTTAGGGGAATCCAACCTCTGTTAGACAATCATATAACTGGTATTGTCTTGAAAAAATTCATCAAATCCAGCAATCTTTTACATTTTCATATAGTAAGTTGTATATATTTTAAAACAAGTTTCGTTTCATAATTAATTTTGCGACGTCTTCTTGGTTTCCATACAAAATTGATAATTCTAATGGAAAATGACGCGTGTGTTTTCTTGTCGGTTGACTATTACAAGTTGTTAGAAGAGTCCAATTAGTAATAACCTCTTGCCAGACATTATGTAAGCTGTTGTACGGTGAATATAACCGCACTTCTAGACTTGGTTTCACCTAGCGAACAACTCTAATTCCAAGTACCACAATTTAAAACGCCAAACTGTGTTGAGAAAATTCATCTGAATCCAGCAACCTTTTACATTTTTGGATAGTAAATTATAGAAACCCTAAACACATTTCATTTTCATAATTGATTTTGTGAAATTAAACTTCTCCTTGCTTCCTCTTTCTTCAAAGGTGATCATTTTGATGAAAATGAAACATGCGTTTTCTCTGTGGGTTTAGGCAGCCAATAAAATCGTATTATAAATTAGGGATAATTTTGAATAATAAAAAAAACTAATACATACTAATGCATGCGTGTGCCTCTATTGAATTAGGGATTTGCTTGTACATAATTCAACGTTAAATATCCATATTTGGGAAAAGACCAACTGAAAGTCACTTAGGATATATTTGTTTACGTTTCATGTCACTTTCGAATAATAATAACCTGAAATTTGCTTACACACAAAAATAAAATAATTACGTACGAATTTTTTATTTTCTATTTTTAAAAAGGAGAAGGAATTTGTTTGAAAAATCATGTGAATACTGTGAACTCTAAAATTGATTGGGGTCGCTCTCTAACCACACCGCCACGTGGCGCAACAAAAAAAGTGGGCCACCAAATTCTGTGTACTGTGCATGGAGATAATTTCCCAAAAAAGAAAATAACTTTTATAAAATAAAATAAAAAAAAAGGGTGTGATTTTTATAAGTTTATATTCTTTCATCATTAAGAATCTCTCATTCAGCCACATCACACTGAACCTATAAACTGCTTGAAATTACGAAACTGCCCTTTCATTTTTTAAACTTTGACTAACACAATTGTTTGAGTACACGGCATTCACACTCTAACAAAGCTCTCTCATTTCTGTCATGTACCGGAGAGGCACTACGCTCACCCGCGACAAAATGCAACGACATGTGCAACTAAATTACCTCTAATTTCTGTGAACCCTAAACACCCCCGTCCCCGTCCCCCTCCCCCCCCACCCCTATAATCACAAATTTCTTCCACTCTCACTCACATAAGGGACTTCAGAGATCTCGCCTTCACCGGCTTTCTCATCCGCTTCCGCCCGCTCTCCCCGCTTCGAACATCATCATCAAAGTCATCCTCGTCGTCGTCGTCGTCATCCACATATTCGAATTTCTTCTCATCAATTTGAGAAGACGAAGATTGAGTAGGAGGAGTAGTTGAAGTAGTAGTAGTGACTCTATCTTCATCAATCTTGGGCTCTTCCTTCTCCTTATCCCCGCCCCTCTTTCGCCCCCACAGCGGGCCAAACCCAGAATAGTAATAGAATTCGTAAGGGTTTGAGGAGGATCCCCTCTTCGCCTTGGCCCGGGAGCGGCGGGCTCCAGCTGATAGCACCTTGTTCGCTGCTTCTCGGGGGCCCTTATTGTTGGAAGCAATGTTGGTATTATGGTTAGACCTAAGCAGGGATAAGTGATGGTTGCAGAAAGACTGGCCGAGTTTGGCTCTCTTCTTGCAATGCCAGCCCTTTCCATCGTTCTTCTGGCAACACGCGTAGCTTGATCTCCTCCCTTCCTCTTCGTTATCGTCGTCCAATAACTCTTTCGAATTCGAACCCTTTTTGTCATCAGCGACGGGCTCTTGTTCCATCCGCACGGCTTTCTCTTTGCCGATATCCATCATCGACGCAACGCTGCGTTTTGCATTATTTTATACACAGCAACATTTCAAGCAGAGCCGCGAGAATTTTGAATAATATTATAAAGAGGGAGAAGAAAAAATAAAAAAAAATAACGAAAGGCAGCGGAAAAAACCCTAATGCCTGAAATGATAATATCGTACGAAATTGGAGAAAAATGATTGGAACCATCGAAGTATAGATCAAAGTGGTGTACCTTTCAGCAGCTCCGAGAGAATCACCGAAGCTCCCATTGTTATTTACATAGAAGCTCTCTTCCAACTACACACAGCAACCCAAAAGGAAAAGAAAGAACCATAAAAACCAACGAAAGCTCGATTTTCTGTGGAAAATATCAGAAAATGAGGAAGACCCATTAACCTAATCGAGCATCGGGAGCTAAATACACGACGACAGTGGGAATTTTAGGGTTTTTGGGGAACCCTAATGTTGGGGGAGGGGAAACCCATGGAACCCGAAGAACCCAGAAATAATGAAAACACTAGTGACGGAAATGCAGGTGGAGGAAGACGAATTAAACAGAGGGAGCTTCTGCTTCCAGAAGGGTCTCCACAGATCTACCCAGAAATTAAAAATGAAGAACAAAAAGCTCAGATAGAGAGAGATAAGCAAGAGAGAGAGAGTGACCTGGTTCGAGTCTGGACCAAAGGAAATAACATCCCATGGGGATTGATTTAACTGGCACACGTGTGCCTGGAGGTCCTCCGCAGCTGGAGCGTGCGACGAGAACAGGAGAGGCGAGACCTTGGCGTTCTTCCTGATCCGCATCTCCAAATCTTCTTTCTTCTTCTTCCTCCTCCTCTTCAAAAACCAACAGCTCAGATAGATAAAACACAAAGAGATAGAGAGCCGCAGGGATGTGTTTGGCTGCTGGGATTTTTTTTTCTCGCACTTTCTCGTGTGTTTTCTCGCTGAGAGAGGAGAGGGTTGGGGGGCTCGGGGGTTGTGGTGGGTTTGTGGGGGATGGGTTTGTTTGTGCAGATCTCACACAACTCGATATAATCAGGGTTTCTTATTAACTTTTCTGTTGCTTTCTCGGCTCTTCGTATATATATTATTTTCGATTTACACTTCTTTTATTGACCATTTTGTCCCTAGGTTTTCGTCTTATTCACAGTTCGTAGCTCGCTACTTGTATGTGAGCGGAAAGGAAAGCCTGCCGCTATTACACGTCATGATAGTTGTCTAAAAATCCCATATTTTTTAAAAGAGACAGCGACAGAAATGGCTCCTCTGCGCACGCCCCCACAATAATTTATGGTGGGTCTGCAGAAATCAAAAGCATAGGGCTAGTTTCGTCTCTCCGCATACAGCATATTAGGAATTTGCGGTGTTTTTTCTTTTAAATTTTTTTATTTTCTCCTAAGTGTTAATGAGCAGGGTAGGGTAGGCCGCGGGTGCGTTAGCATGTGATAGTTATCCGAGACAAGGATATTTTGGTAATTTCAATGACCCTTTTTAAAATAAAATAAAAATACCGGTAAAACGGAAAAAAACCTAACGTCTTTTCTTATGACATGGGAGAGGAGGATGAAGAAGTGGCGCGTGGATTTCACGCGGGAAAACATGGCAAGGCCACGCTCGAGTGGAGCAAGTGGGAAACACGTTTGGCCCACAGCCACATGAAAAGGGTTTGATGAGCGTACGTGTGTGTGGGGCCCCCGTTTGAGTCAACAGAATGGACGGTCCAGATGGGAGTCGGATGGGTGAGGTGGCACAGAATCCGATACTAGGATTGGGGTGTATTAAGTGTTTGGAGGAGGCAGCCTTACGTGTCGCTTTGTGGTAGGTTTCTTGGTAGGCATTTTATTTGATTTCTAACCCTCCCCACTTATTATGGTAAAGCCAAGAAAATTATGGTAAAATATCTATCAATTGGTTAGATATTATGACTGTCCAAATAAGTGGGCAAGGGGCAAAAGTGTAAAACTTTATATAAATTGGGGCCATTTGCATTCCAATAATTAACTATTTGCATCATATTTACAGATTACATATTAATAAAAGAAGCCGTATTCCGGATAATATTATTAATAAGAGAATCCGAAAGAGCAAAAAGAATGGAATTATACATCATAAGAGAATCGGCAATTCAATAGTCAAACACTTGATAAGATTCTCTTTTAATTGTTTGTGATGCTATTTGCATCATATTTACTGATTATATTTTTCATGTAGATGAAACCGACGCGCACGAAATTCGTGTGTCCACATTAGAGGGCGTTCATGAGTAAATATATCTTATAAAAGGGTTACTCTCTTTTCTTTCTTTTTTCCCCTTGACATGCATTGGTCAGAGAAGCAGAGATGCTATGTGCCCTTTGCTCTGTTTGTTGCTTAAAACGATTAATTTTGAGGGTGAAGAATATGTTTCCCAACAACCAATAAAAAAGCAAAAGAATATCATTGTAATGATTACAATTCGCTAATTAGGAATTTGGTAAAATTTTATAGAATGACTATAACTTCATTGCAAAGAAAAACAGCACATACAACTAGATCATAATTAGAATGGACTCAATTGGAAAAAGCCTTTGTGTGTTCAAGTGTTCTGTTCAAACAAAATTTCCAGATTTGATCACATGCATTTCGAAATTATTTCCAAGCATGTTTCTGTGTTTGGTTGCAGAGAAAATTCGTCTTCTCTGCAGCAGATTAAGAAGACTAGTACTAGATGATTAGTTTGATAGAGATAGTTTTGATGAACAACCACCAAGAAAGAGATTAGTTTTTATAATATCAATCAATTAGGTTTCCCAATAGTTGATACTTGTTCCTCTGCCCTCTGTAGAGCTTGGGAACAGAAAGAAGAAAGAAAAAAACGAGCGAAGTGTGAAATTGCAAGTTTTTGTTACTTGGGTTATTTTAGGAATGAATAACTAAGGGCCCATTCAGTAACGTTTTCAAAGAATATTTTCTTATAATATTTTCAGAAAATTAAAACAAGAAAACAAATTTGCATTTTCAGGAAATGAAAATACGTCTGGTAGATTAATTAGAACGTGTCTGGTAGTACAATTTGAAATAATAATATGTGAGTTATTTTTATGAAAACGTTTCACAGGAGAATAAAAACAACTTTTTTCTGTTTTCTACAAGTACGCATGAACTTGTTTTCATTTTATGAAAACATTCTCAATGTTTTCTGTTTTTTGGCCACCGAACGTGTTTTGGTCTCATTTTTATTCTCTGAAAATGAAAATAACCTCTTAAAACGATACCGAACGGACCCTAAATCACCTCACTAATATGTAACCGTAAACCTTGATAGCTAAAACTGCATAGATCGAAAACGGTATCAATGCAGCATAAACAAATATAGTCTCCTTCACTTGTTGGATTATGCAACTGCAAGACATAGCACGAATGGATACCTAGTGCTATATATCTCGTAGTTTCGAGATCCGACAACTGAAACTATATATACGCATATATGTCCTAGCAATTACAGAGCCTATAAAGAAGAGACATGTATATGCAATATGTAGAGGTTGAAATTAATATGTGGTTGCTGCTGAGACAGGTAGATGCATTGCGGGGACGTGGCTCATCTCATTGGGTCTTGGACTTTCCTGAATTAATATTTCCAATTCACTATGATGTTTTTAGGCATGCAGCTCAACTGCGATCTGATTCTGATAGGACAATGATATGTATCAGCAGCCTATTGTAGCAGGGGCCCCGTCGCTAATTTTGTACAAAGACGAGTGAAAAACACGAACTAGGACTGTTATTTCAGTAAACTTTATAGACATGGTCCATGGACTGGCCCTCACATGCCCTACCACACCGTCGGAAATTAGCCTTTCAAATTGTATACGTTTTGTTAGGTACAATGATATCGACATATTATATGTAGGGTTAATTACAATTTAGTACCCTATACTTACACCCTTAATACATGTTAGTCCCCGTATTTTCAATTTTAACAATCGCATACACCGAGCTTGTAAATTTTTTACAATCCAATTCCACCGTTAGGATTTCTATCAGATCTTTCTGTTAGTTGTCTACATGGCACTGTGGGTCCCACATTTTCCAAAATTCTTAATTTTTAATTGATTAAAATATTAATAAAATATTAAAAACCAAAACAAAAAAAAAAAAATCTCAAAAAAATTTCAAAAAATCTCTCTACACAAACCCATGACCACCACGAACCCAGAACCCATCCATCCCTGCAATTTTCTTCTCCCTCCACCCCCTGCGATTCCCCATGACCACCACGAACCCACAACCAGAGAACCACAACCTAGAACCCCAGCCCCCATGAACCCAGAACCCATCCATCCCTGCGATTTTCTTCTCCCTCCACCCCCTGCGATTTCCCCGTGACCACCACGAAGCCACAACCCAAGAATCCACAACCCACAACCCTATCCCCCATGAACCCAGAACCCATCCACCCCTGCGATTTTCTTCTCCCTCCACCCCCTGCGATTCTCTCTCTCTCTCTCTCTCTCTCTCTCTCTCTCTCTCACAAATGGAAGAAGAAGACTAGCAAAAAGTCGCAGATCTGATCAAAGAGCCCGTCATTCGCTTGCTCTCACACGAGTCAAGGGTTTTCTTGGGTAAGGGAAATAAGGAAAAGGGTTGTAACAATGGTGTTTTGTTAGTTTCGAAAGACCCAGAAAAGATTCGGGAAATTGCATTTAGGGAGTTTGTGAACTTGATTAAGGAAGAAAATGAAGTTTCTGAAGAGCTTTTGGTGAGGGGGGTAGGGGGGGGGGAGAGAGTCTGGGTTTTCTGGGTTCGTGGGATATGGTTGCAGGTTGGGATGTTGGAGCTTGATCAGAGAGAGAGAGAGAGAGAGAGATATTTTGTTTTAATTTTTTTTGGTTTTATGGTTTTTAATATTTTAATCAATTTAAAATTTAAATTAAAAAAAAAAGTGGGACCATAGTGCCACGTAGGCAACTAAGGGTGGAATCTGACGGAAACCTAACGGTGGAATCGGATTGTAAAAAATTTACAAGCTCGGGGTATGCGATTGTTAAAATTGAAAATACGGGGACTAACATGTCTTAAGGGTGTAAGTATAGGGTACTAAATTGTAATTAACCCTTATATGTATATATAATATCCAAACTTTGAAATGTTACAGTTTCGGACGACATTCGCTTTCTTAATCTTGGTTTGCACCTTTGCTACTTTGTCAATTAGCTGCTTGTAAGTTGTATTATCACTCATGACATGAGACATAATTCAGATATAAAAAAAAAGAATCATGCTACATGATAAAATTGTAGGGAAAACGAGACCAGGAAAAGGAATCATGATCAACCCTCCTCAGCTCAATTTAGATTAATTTTTGACCCGTTAATAGGTTAGGATAGACGAAGCATGTCGAGAGTAAATGAGCTAAAAATAACTAATGTGAAAAAAGAAAGAAAAGTATACACAAGATAATGGAAAGAAGAATACGTTTTGAGGTAGAGGCCCAACTCTTAACACATTTGGGCCAAAATCCATCAAATTAAATTAATTTTTACAAGTTGATGTATTCTGAATCGAATGATGACAATAAAAGTGAATATTTTACCATTTATTTGAAGTTTTCCAAAATATTGTGACTAGTTTTTTAATTTAGCAATAAAATTAAAGTAGGGAGAGTTTTCTCAAATTAACCAAATGGTGCGATAGAGGGCATGAAAGTTAACTTTGAAAAGACGAAGAATGTCGAGATTAAAGAGGTTAAAAGAAATTAATGTTAAAAAGGAAAGAACAATATATACGAGATAATGGGAAACAAGAATACGTTTTAAGGTTGGCAAGAGGCCCAATCCTTAACACATCTGGATCGGGCCACAACCCATCAAACTAAACCAATCTTTACCGGTATAAGAGCATCCACAGTGGGGGGTGTATGTTAAATATACACCCCGAGTCATCGGAATCGTCTCCAATGGTGAGATGTAAATGTATGTAAATATATATCACCACCATGGGGATGTAAAATAAAATGTATATTTACATCCATTTTTACATCCCTTGCAGGCGGGACCCACCCGAGAAAAGAG